TCCTCCTCTTCTTCTTCTTCTTCTTCTTCTTCTTCTTCTTCTTCTTCTTCTTCTTCTTCTTCTTCTTCTTCTTCTTCTTCTTTTAAGAAAGGGTCTCATAGTTCAGGCTGGCCTTGTGCTCACTACGTATCCCAGGCTGCCCTTGAACTCATAGCAGTCTTCCTGCCTCAGCCTCCCAAGTGCTAGGATTACAGGCATGCACCACCATGCCCAGCTTGCTTTGGGGTTTTTATTATACTTTTTCTGTAAATATTGACCTTCACGTGCTTAAGGGGCTTCTTAATGGATGCTTTTTAATTCAACTTTGTCTGATATTAGTATTGCTCTTTCTACTCTTCTTTTTCTTTATCTCTTTGTTATTTATTTATTTGTTTGTTTGAGACAGGGTCTCACAGTGTAGTTCAAGCTGGCCTTGAACTTCACTATGGAGCCCAGGCTGGGCTCCAACTAGTGGTGATCCTCCTGCCTCAGCCTCCTGACTACTGGGATTATAGGCATGCACCACCATACCTGGCTACTTTGAAGTATGTTTTCTGTTACTAACATACAGTTTCTGGCCAATTGAACAGTCTCTTCTGTTTTCTAAGTAGGAATTCAGCCCACTGCCATTTAACAACCAACTGATACACCTGACTCTACTGCTCCTAGCTGATTCAAGCTGATTTATTTACTTTGTGTTTCCTCTTTTCCTCCCATTTGCATTCTTGCCAGTTAGGTTGATTTACTGTATAGTCCTCATTTCCTCTTATTAATTGGGAAATTCTACTCCTCCTCTCTACTCCTGGGGACTTCACTTTGTGAGCCTCACAATCATTTATTCAACCATTACCTTCTCTAAAACTGGCACTGTCCTGGCCAGCATGCCCAGTGCTTCCCTCGCTGAAGCCTGGAATGAGTCTCTGCAGAGCGTGTGCCTCCCTTCCTCCTCCACGTCCCCCACCCCTTGGATTTGCCGAGCCAGCCAGGACTTTTTTCTCCAAACCCTCCCTGGTCATCTCTGCAGCCTGGCCTTGCATCTCCAGAACCTTTACCTCTCTCGATCTCCTACACTACCTTTCCTGGTGCCCCTTGTGGCTTGCCCTGTCTGGCCTGGTGGGTGACAACTGGCCAGGAGGGTCTCCAGGCCCTGTGCCTCATGGTCCCCTGTTCTCCAGTGCCCGGTGCTGGGTACGAGGAGCCTGGTGCTGCACTGTGCCTGGTCTTTCTTCATGGTTGCCCAGAGTCGTTCTCTAGACCCCTGGGGCCCAGTGAACCCACGGTCAGGGCACCCTCAGGTCGGGGAGGCCTCTTCTCTCCTGCTGGCCCTGTAAGGATGACCTTTCCTGCCCTCTGCCCATCTGTGACCTTGTCCCTCACCGCGTCCTTCTCATCTCCTGACTGTCAGGCTGCCAACTCCGCAGGTCCGCCCCTCTGAGTTCCTCTGTTCAACCTCCAGTCTTAGAACCTCACCGTGTGTGGCTCAAGGCCAACTCCACCAGAGCCCAGGGTCAGCACAGTGCCTCCACTCCCTGTGCCCCGAGGGTCCTCTGGGTACTCGCGCTTGATCTCTGGACCCCCTAGTGCCTCGTCTTTCCTCTGCTTCCACATGTTCTGCTCGCCCCTCAGCTGAGTTGAGCTGCAAGGGCCTCAGGCAGCAGGGTTGGCAAATCTGGGCCAGTCACTATGCAGAGCAGCGATCTCTTCCCTGGTCTTGGGCTGCTTTGTCCAGTGGTCCAATTTTCCACTGTGGCACAGGGAGGATCCAACTCTGTCCCAGGTCTTCCTGTTGCAGGCAGCAGCTCCTGTTCAGTCTCAGGGGCAGGGATTAACTTCGCCTCTCCATGTGAAGGACCAGTGCAGGTGGTGCAGTCAGGAAGGTTGTACAAGGTGTGCACTGCACAAGTGTGCCAGGTTGAGAGTAGAAACTGGACTCTGCTCTCCAAGTTGAAGGCGCTAATGCAATCTGTGTTTGTCTGGAAAAGGAGCACTTTTTCTTTGCACACGGAGGTCATCTTCTTACTAAGTATGTGTACCAGACTATCCACCCCCCTGTTCTTACGTGACATCAAGGAACACTGTGTGCCAGCAGCAACCCGAGCCCACGGGCTCCCAAGTCAGGAAACCCAGCAGCCCTCCCAGGCCACGTGCAGGATGGACACTTGGTGCTGCCCTGCCCAGGTGGTGGTGCGGTCCTGGTCCTGGCCTGGCCTTGGGTTGGGCGCCCCAGGGGACAGGCCAGGAGCCTCAGTGCCATCTTCCCCGTATTCCCCCACAAGCGGATGCCTCTGTCCCTTAACTTTCCCAGTGCCATTCATTCATTCATTCTTCTTAGCCCAGATGACATGCCAGTCCCCGGTCTACTCTGTATCTGAATTCGAGTCCCTGGCCACCCAGCCAGTGACTCTCTCCTGGTGCCACAAACATGGCTCCTATTCCTCCCCCACCCCTGCCTCTTTCTGCTGCTCCCTATTTCTTTCTATTCATGCTTAGTTTCTCAACCACCAAACTCAGTAGCAAATTCCAGCAAGGGATTTCATTTCCCTGGGCCTCATTTCTTACCTGGAAAGGAGGGCAGTGACTCCCACCCCAGGGTCAAGGAAGAGATGGCAGCTGGTGTAGGAGGGAGATGGTGACACTCGGTCCTGGCCCTGCCTGTCCCCTCCGAAACTGAGGACAAAGAATCCCTGCATCGAACTGCCCCAATGCGCAGCCCACAGACCCCTGCCTCTTGTGGCCCAGGGCCTCCCCTGCCAGGCCCTGCAGAACCTGTGTCTGACCAGGGAGGGAGGCATGGCTGGGGCAGTGACCGGTCTCAGCCTATGCTGACATTGGCCTGCTGTGACCAGCACACCCAGCCCCAGGCTCAGGGCTCAGCCTTCTTGGAATGGCCCTTGGAGGGCTGGCAGACCAAGGAAGAGAGAGGCACTCAGAGAATTGAAGGGAAAGGCAGGTTTATTCACTACCTAGAGGCCTCGTGGAAGTCCCCTTCCAGAGTCTAAGCCCCGTTTCTAAGTTTGTTCTCATATTTACCTGTTCTTTAGCCAGAGTGGGGAAGCAAGCAGAATTTTACAGAAGCAGAACTTAGCAAAGGGTAGGGAGGTGGAGGTAATGTTGTTTTTACAGTTTATCTTTAGGACGTAAGGAGGTAGGCAGCTGTTTTTCAGCGGTTCATCTTCTGGGCACAGTGACCTTCGTGGGTTTACCAGTAGGGGCAATACTTAGACTGTCCGCCTTGAGGCCGTCAGCCTCTGCTCTGTCTTTTGTTTTTCTCCGCTTCATCATCACAAAGGGACCCTTTAGGGAGGAATACAGAAACACAGTTTTATGGCATAGAACTTGCACACTGTCTGTTTACCATTGCTCTAGCAAATCACCCGTGGCTAGGTGATGTTATAAAGAAAAGGAGTTTGTTTAGCTCCCAGTTTTAGGGGCCTGACATCCGAGATCAGGAAGGGCCATTGGTTGGCCTCTGTCGAGGGCTGCCTTGTTTGTGACACAGTGTGGTGGAGAAACAGAAAGGGAAGCAGCCACATGCAGAAACACTGGGCCACCTCTCTCAATGACGATCACTTTTGGAAGGACTCATTCACAGGACAGAGCTAGCTTTATTCCCTTCCAAGGGTGGTGCCATCATGGCCTGATTACCTCCTAGAACTCTCCACTTTTCCTTCCTCCCTTCTTTTCCTCCTTCTTTCCTTTTATAAATTTGGTTTTTTGAGGTAGGGTTTCCCTTTATAGTTCAAGCTGGCCCTGAACTCACTATGTAATCCAGGCTGGCCTCCAACTTGCAGGGATCCTCCTGCCTCAGCCTCCCAAGTGCTGGGATCACAGGTGTATGCCACCACTCCCAGTTTAAATTTTGAGGCAGTCTTGCTAAGTATCTAAATTGCCCAGGCTGGCCTCAAACTTGCAATCTTCCTTGGGCCAGGGATTTAGCTCAGTGGTGCTGCCTTCTGCCTCGAAAGCACAAGGTCCTGAGTTCAATCCCTGGTCCAAAAAAAAAAAAACAACTTGCAGTCTTCCTCCCTCAGCCTCCCAGAGTGCTGGGATTACAGGCGCGCACCACCACACCTGGCCAGACCCACCTCTTAAAGGTCCCAGCACTTCTCAGCATCACCACACTGGGACCCATGCTTCCAGCACAGGACCCTTTTGGGGACACATTCATACCTTGTCCAAGCCACAGCACACACTGGAGAACTCCCCCACGCAGAGCGTTGGATTCAGTGGTGTTTAGTGTATTCAGCGATGTGCATCTGAGCCAAAATCTGGTTTCCAACACTTTCATTGCTCCCAGAAGCCAGTACCCCTGCCTGTCATTCTCCAGCCTTCCTCCACTTGCCTTAGGCAAGCCCTGATCTACTTTCTTTTTGTTTATTTTTATAGCACTGGGGATTGAACCCAGGTTCTCACACATGCAAAGCAAATGCTTTATCACTGACTACATTCCTAGCCCTT